CACACACACACACACACACACACACACACACACACACACACACACACGCACAGCAATCTACACCTAGTGCCGATAGTGCATTCCACTGAGGTCCCACCATCAGGAGCGTGCTAGCGACAACCAGGCCCCGCGAAGTAATACCTAACGGTGGTCCCGCGGGGGAGAGTGGTAGACGAAGTGTGTGTGGGGGATACTTTTTAGTACGTATGCGTCAGGGATGGCGAATCGTGCATGCTGCTACTAAGACCCAGCAGTATCTTTCGAAGATTTTCTACCTCCAGCTCACAGAGCAAAACAAAAAAAAAAACCTAATGCTTAGCTAAATTGAATTGCGCGGCCATTGCGGAAAGCAAAGCGCATTTTGATTGCTCTTCAAAAAGAAAAAAGGCAAGAAATCATACGCTAGAGTGATCTTGGACTGTTTGTAGTGGACTCTTTTGAAGGAGACTCCATACGATGATGAATAAAGTTAATAATAAATAAGAGAAAAGAAAAACTTTTCCATACTTAGTCCCGTGACTTATCTCATGCTCATCCAGCGATGCGATATATGTGTGCGTTCGATGTGCGTTTCAAATGAAACGAAATCAATGAACTTCTTGTGCAAACATATGCATTCAAATTCAATTACGTTCTCCTTTTTGTTAACGTGCATAGGAATAGATTTAAATGGAAATTTGTTGCACATGTGCGTAAAATGAAATCTTCTGAATGATTACAAATTTCCTTATATTTTACAGTAGCTTAAGCAGAATAGCAAACTGAATATCTTTATGAAGATACTTCTTTATGCTCACTCCTTCAACTGAGATGAGACGCTACCGTTTTCTTCTTTTCTTCCTCTGCCTCTCTCTATGTTTTCTCTTGTTCATTCTCTTGTCATTCATGAGATATGAGATTTTCATAATAGTTTTGTAACAAATGCAAACTTTTTTTATTCGTACTTACGGCAAGCATTTAATAAAATTGTGCAGCGTCATCAGCGTCAGTATCGTACTCATTGGGGACCTTGAGGCAAGAGATTTGCAATTGCCTGCCGTTTGCAGCTTGCTGCCTGCTGTCGGTTACTAGTTGCCGACTGCTGGTTGCTGACTGCATTTTCATTGTGCAATAATTGCAGTTCGCATTAAACTCTTTCTTAATTATGACTGCAATGGCAAATTATTCTGTCGGCCCTTTCTTCTTCATTTTCCGTGCGTTTTATTTAATTTTTTCTTCTTTTTTTTTGTTATTTATTTTTTTTTCTTTTCTTTGCTTTATTGTTATTATTTATTTTGCATGATTTTATTTTAATTTTTATTATTTATGTGACGGGTGTGCTCAGCCAGCTCATTCATTTTTTTCATCCTTCAGTTTGTAATATTCTGCTTCTTTTTTTTTTTTTTTTTTTGTTTTAATCTCTAGTAATAAAGCGAAATATTCTTTACAGGGAAGAACAAAGAGAAAAATAAAAAATAAAATTTCATTCATAGTAAGCTGTCTGTCCTTTACGTTTGGCTAGAGGGTCTATCGGTGCTTATGGAAGTGTTGATAACTGCCATTCATTTAATACGTTTATTGTATCGATGCACTGCATAAAGAATTAATTCATTATGACGGCACTGATGACATTGCTGATGATATCATGATTTGTAATATTTTCCTTTTTCTCTTTTCGCTTTTTTGTTATTTGCCTGATTATGTATGAATGATGATGAACGTTTCAAATCAGAGATTATTCATAAACAAATTCTCGAGGGTCTTAATTAGTCGTTATACAAAATAACTACATAAAAAAAATAAAAATAAAAAATAAAAAAAAAATAAAAATCGAAGAACATTATAAAATTTTTTGACCTAAATATTATTTTTCAATGGACTTGCTGCTTTTTCATTTTGGTGAAGAAAAATAAAAATAAAAAAGAATTCTTTCTCAGCCATACATTTTAAAGCATAAATAACTGTCAATTTTGCTATTAATAAACAAAAAACAAAAGAAAACCCACTTGGAAAAATGGCAGGTAGTCAAAAAGTCCACCCATTGAAATTTGAAATATATACATATATATATATATATATATATATATATATATTCATGTATATAAATAAACTAATTTGACACTAAAAGTATCAATAAAAGCAAAGTTTGCACGTTGGCGTAAAAGGTTTTTCCTCCTTACGCATGAATACCGCAAACATTCAAACAACGGTAGTTAAACGCCTACAGATTTATTTTTCTTTCTCTTTAGTAAATAATTTGTTCATATATTGAAGAGTCAGTCAGACAGTGAGTCAGTCAGTCAGTCAGTCAGCCCATCAGCCAGTCTATCGTTCATTCATCCCAACCAAAAAAGTACATATGTACACAATACTAATAAATAGGATTTTCTTTTTCTTCTTCTTCTTTTTAAGTTTCTTTCATCTGAAAAATACGCCTTTCCAGTTCAAAGTCATATTGAAAAGAATGCCATTATATATGGACATGAATACAATGGTACATAACTTTAAAATTGTTTCCTTTATTTTTCATATCACAAGCTAAGCGGTTGGCTTCATTTTCGAGTTATATTCAATGTATCTCCATCTATATGCCAAGAAGACACAAAAATGTTCGCAATCCAATTAGATAAATGCAATTTTAAGAAGCTGTTAAATCTTAGTACATTATATGCTGAACAGACTAGAAAGCAAGTTAATGCGTATTAGTCGGACAACGTCGACCATTGAATACCGTACACACTAATTCGATTCTATTGGAATTGTCGACCTATTTTCCTTTATAAATATTCAAAAATTTTACTTCCTTGGGATAAGAATCCCGACTACCCAGCAAGTGCGGCAGAGTTTACTTTGGTCGTAAGTGCAGTGAGTGCTCAGCCGGTTAAGTCGGTGGTAACACTTACTTACGATCGGGCACACGTTCACTACGCTACCGTCATCGCCTCCCTATCTCTTTCTCTTTCCTCATGTCTCTCAGACCGTCATCGTGTCACATGAATGAACGACATCCCCTGGGTAGTGATCATATTAAAAAAGGTAAGAGATAAACTAAACTAACATTACCGGCTGAAAAAATACAAATGTTCACGGGAGCAAAAAAATATAAGAATCATTCTGCCTCGGTTAGTGAACCTATAACTTACAATATTTATGTATATCGTTGCTTGCTTCTATGTGATATATGTGACTCAAGGAAAATATATATACATTTATACGTGCGTTTGAACGAAACAATTTACAAATAATGTCGCATTATTGGTTCACTAAGGGCGATGTAAGGTGAGGTAAGATTTGTATAATCTATCTATCTAGTTCTACCTCTCTCTCTTTCTCGCTCTCTCCCAGATCCATAGGAATAACAATTTAAACTAAACTAAACAGTGACACCGTTCGATGTGTACGCTCGCTTTTCATATCTATGTGAATATTGTTAAAACCCTATCCGTACTAATCAATAGATCAGTTAACGGAAGATCAAGATCAATTAAGTCAAGTTACTGAGAAAATTGCTTAACATATAAGGGAGCTTACAGAAATAAAAAACTTATTGTATGCGCATATATATATGTATATATATATATACATATATACATATATGTATATATATATATACATATATACCGTTCGTATAATTTAGTTAATTAACTTAGAACTCAGAATATTATGTTAATTGCTTGCTTGCTTTTGTCTAATGTGACTTATATGAAAAACGGTATATAGTTTTATGCAAATGAAACACCTGACAAACTATGTTGCATTACGTGTTCATCAACTGAGACATTAGCCAACGCTTTAGCATGCAAATACAAAAAATGTTATATAACAATAATGACACCAGATATTCTGATTTCGAATTATGCAGTCAAAGTCAAATGAAATGTTGCCGGTTAAATGAAGTTTGGTTGACGTCCTTTCTAACTCATCATCAATCTCAAGAGATATCTATCTATATGTTAATCGAACAATTTCTCTATTGAAATCACGTTAGTCGAATGCCGTGTGAATATCATTGAATTAAATGTTTATTACACCTTTTTTTTTTTTTTTTTTTTTTATTTTTTTATATTTCAAATCTAAGGCAAATAAGATATTACGACGAAGTAACAACATGCGTGTATGTATCATTAACAAAAGAATCGCTGAATAGTAAAAAATAAAAAAAAAAAACTAATTACTAGATAAATAGAAAAAGTATATAAAATGCAGTATGCGTGCGTTAGTGAACTTATAGCTTATAACATAATATATCGTGTGTTTCACTTATATGACTTATGTGACTTACGGAGAAAATGTACATACACGGGGGCATATGAATGAGACAGTTGACATATTAAGAAGCGTTATGCGTTCACTAACTACGGCATTAGCAATATGGTAATAAATTGTCAATGTAAGATAGGATTTAAAAAGATCGCAAATTTTCATCATGTAATCCGAGGCTGTAAGAACCGATGGGTATTTTTTTTTTTTAACTTAAGCTCTATCGAAAGGACCTAAATTAGCTTTAATGGCTTGCCACGAATACTATACATTTTTTTTCTGTTCCTTTCAATTTTGATTTCGAATTTTTATGATCTGGTCAAAGCCTTCGACTACGTCGCCTCGCTTGCTTATTCAAATTCACTTTACCCAGAATTGTAGGAATCGCGCATACAATAATCCCTTTAATAATTAAACATATATATGTAACGATACGTAATACATATATGGATTGTTAATAGAACAAAAGATTATTGGAATAGTTTGCTTTCCGTCGTGATAATTATCTTATATTGAGCCTTGAAGAGAGGAGAGAAAAATCGCGTATAATTGCAAACTAAAATTACAAGCAATTTTTTCCTTTTTTTTTTTTTTTTTTTTTTTGCTTTGTTTTTTATTATTATGGGATATAAGAAAAATATATAGGCAATAAATATTGTTTATAATAATATGTAATAAAGATTCTTAAATAGAGTAAACAATAAAACTTACCCTTAATTTAATTGTTGGCATTGGAGAGTATCTCGGTATAATCCCAATAATAAATAGAATCAGTATAAAATTGTAATTTGATTTCATTTCTTGCAATATATATTGCCGACGTGGCCGCCTCGCAAGCATACACTAACACACACACACACACATACACAAATGCACAGTAGCTTAACTTTATGCATTCAATGAAGTGAAGGAATAGCATAAAGTGCCGTAAAGATAAAGATGTGTGCTACAAGTGTGTACAAGTGTGTACGAATGTATAAATTGTGTTTTTGTTGTTGGTTGTTGAATTCCTTATTCCATCTGTGAGTTTGTATAGAAACTATAATAAATCTGTAGCAGTTATTTTATGGTTAGTATGCTGTTGTTTTAGTTGTTGCTGTATTGTTGTTGATATGTGTTTTTTTGTTTTTTTTTTTGTTAACTGCTGCTTGGCATGGCAAAGGCAGCAAAAGTAATTTGCAATCATCAACAAATTGTAAACAATTTCCGCAATTATATCTATTGCTTGCTGGCGCGCGTTGGCTGGCTGAGGCTATAGCTTGTTGCTGCTGCTACCACTACCACCACCACCACCACCAGGCGCATGGGCTTATACCATTTGGAAAGGCCAAAAAGCAACAAATTGTCGGAAAAAACGACGACAAATCAAGCCAAGAAGGAGGCAACATCGCAAGGAAGCCTGCCAAGAATTAAATAACAAGCAAGCAGAGCAACAGACAATGGAGAAGAACAAGACAATCGTTGCGAGGCGCGCGCGACAAGTGTAATAAATGCGAAAAAAAAAAAAAAAATTTTTAAATAAAAATAATAAATATAACTAAATAAATAAATAAATAAATAATAAATGATATAAAAAACAAACGAAATCAGTAACAACGAGAATAAATAAATAAAAAACAAAAAAAAAATTGTTTTCAAAGAATGTTTTGTTTACTCGAGATTGTTGTTGAATACTTTTTTCTTAAGCAAATTTTCACAAGTCTATTATAATAGATTTGTTGTTGTTGTTGTTGTTGTTATTTGTCTATTTATTCGGTTCTTAGTTTTGTGCATTTGTTTGTCGTAAAATTGACACTGATGACTGGTTGTTGGTTGATTGTCTGCTTGGTTGGCTGGCTAACTTGTTGGCTGGTTGGCTGGTTGGCTGGCTGGCTGGCTGTTTGGCTGTTTCGCTGTTTGACTGTTTGGCTGTTTGGCGGGTTAGCTGTTTGATTGTTTGGTTCTTTGGCTGGCAGTATTCTTGGCCGTCTCCTTGATTATATATAGTGTATGTAAAGTAGCATGTATCGTAGTGGTAGTGATGATGGGCTTAAAAGCAGTGGTTTCTTTGCCAAATATGGCTACGTTTCCGTTAAAACAATTGCGGAAGCTTGTAATTTGAATTTATAACGCTCTTATTCACTTTTCCAGAGCACACGCATGCAAACAAACATATATATATATATATATATATATATATATATTATAAGAAATACTTATTCGAAGTAAGAGGAAAAGCTTAAGAAAACAACCGCATATTTGAGTTTAAACGATTTCACATTTAAAATTGTTGTTCTACATTCCTTTTTGCGAGTAAATCGCAAATATTTCACATTTTTTTTTTTTTTAATAATTTGCTTCAATTTCTTCTTTTCTTTTCTTTTTTTTTTTTTTTTTCTTCCCCGTTATATATATGTGCTTATAAATTTACATTTATACTTCTTGCACACTCCTCTGCATAATCAAGTGCGCGCGTATTAATTTTCTTTATTATGCCTTTCCTTTAGCTTAAACACTTTACCGACACGTTCCGTATATTATTCTTTAATTATTATTATTTTTATTTATTTTTTGTTTCTTTATTACATAATTTTTTTTTTTGTTATTTAAATTTATTCAAATACTTATGTTCACCTCGTATCGTATAGCTGGCTATACGACAGCGTATGCACTCATGAAATAACATTCATTCGCTCGCTTTATTATCAATTCTTAAAGTCTGATGAATTTATGTGACGTTCGTCTACACGTTTGCCATTCAGTCAGACGCTGTCTATCAATTTTCTGTTTGACTTTCTTTTTTCCTTCTTTTAATTTATAATTTATTTATATTTCCTAAGCATTGATATCGTTTTCGTGTAACTTTTTTCAGTCATGCACGGATTTTCTTGCTTATGCAAATTTTCGATAATATTCTCTATCTCTCTCTCTCTCTCTCTCTCTCTCTCTCTCTCTGTCTGTCTGTCTGTCTGTCTCTCTCTCTTTGGCTGTTTTTGTTTTTTTTTTTTGCTCTTTCACTCTTTTTTGCAATTGTCCATGCGAGCAATTTATTATTCATTTTATTTTTTATATTCCTTCATGCAAGCATTCATTCATTCAGTCATTTATTTACTCAATCGTTCATGCATTCGTTCACTGTCTAATATATGCATTCCTTTAATTGATATTTTTATCGATTAATTTGCAATTTTTGTTTCAATCTCTGCAATCAATCAAACGAACATTTCTTTTAATATTCACTTCGAACAATTGTGTTCAGTTTTGCAAATTGTATCTGCAAAGAAACGATAAAGAGGAAAAGAAAGAAAAACAACAAAATTTTTTTTAATAAAAACCACAAAAAATATTTTATTATTATTACATCAACGTTGAATTATGCTCAGCGTAGTGTAGTAATTATCAAAAGCGACCGCAACAAAGTAAAAAAATGAGAAAATCGTGACCAACCCTTCAATCAATTAATGAAAAAATCAACATAGAATTTCTTGTTCAGTAACATTTCGAATTGTAAAGCCAGTGCTAAAAAGATGACTCTTTCACAACAAATGAAATTGTTCCCCGAGGGGAACGATTTTCACTATTCGATTTTCAATAATCCAATCTTTGTCGTACTATCGCAATGGAGAGAAGGAATTTTCAATTCTCGTCCCCCCTGTGCCCCCTTGTGCCTAACACTAGTATGAAACCATTACGAAGGCTACATAGCTCACCTTAATCTGCCTAAAAATGGGTATTTCGAACATAATCGTAGGGCAAGTCTACAATTACAAAAAACATTTGCTAAGGAAAGTAAAATATTACATAGGAAAGTTCTGTCACGTCTGCAGACTATATTCAACTTCATTATGTCACTTGTCTATTGCAGACACCAGAGATCAACAGTCAACCGATCCTTTCAACAAAATCGAAATTTTAATCGCGTTGTTCTCAATCTTAGCATATCATTGGCTTCTTTAAGTGAGCTGCTTCGGCAGATAACTTCACAAAAACGGGCGCCACGATTGGTAAAATAAATTTTTTTCAAAAAAAAAAAAAAGACAAACAAAAAAAATGCTCCAATACTTATTGGAATACAATTGGAATTTCTAGAAAATTATTGGTTGCACTGCTGCACAAGATGCAACATTGTGACCTACTTGCTATGCTAAGAGAGAACAAGCAAAGGAAAACTAACGTTTTCGCAATAGCCTGACAACAATATTCCATTTTGTTGTTCAATGTATGTAACAAAGCGTTTGTTGAAAACCATTGTAACAATTATTTTAGATATTAAATACATAATGCAGAGAAACTTCACTTTATTCCCAATTAAGTTCAACGCAATCAATATTGTATTAATCAGTTGAATTAAAGACGAGAACCATTCCAGCAGCCAAAAAAAAAAAAAAAAAAAAGAAAAATATTGCACCAAACAAAAAACAGCAAAAGAATTTTTTTTAACGCGAAATGTCACCTTTCCAACGAGCATAAATCTGAAATTGTTTGATCGATACTTTACGAGAAAACTATCAGTGCAGTCACCTACCGAAAAAATAATGGATTTCTTTTTCCCCAAACTAATATATGAGAAAACTATCCTAGAGGCTGAACATAAGCGCTTGATTTAGGTAATTTTCTTAGAATGTAAGGCGAAAAGTGATAGGAAAATGCCACAGCTATTTATTTTTATCCTTATTCTTATTACAATTTTAGACTAATGAAATAAATTCTTAGACTAAAAAAAAAAAAAAAAAGACATTGAGCGCTAGCAGCACAAGATGTTAAGTATTGAGACTAGTAGTTTGGATAAAGTCATATATTGTATTGATATTCTGTATTCTGTAGCTGATTGTACAATGTCCATAGGGTTAATCGTGCCAAATGCATTACTTCCAGCCAAGGTAAAGTTCAGGCGGTCACAGAGAGTCTACTTTATAGTGAGAATTTGTCCACAATTGCAGATTGGAGAGGAAGACTTCTTCAAGATCTATTGATGAGTTGCAATTGTATGATCAAGGCGAATTCTCCAAAATATTTGGATCTTGATTTTTTTTCAACATTTCTGGGATATAAAGGTGGAACTAATTGAGAGTTAATTGAGGAGGAGTGCTGACGATGGTATTGTAGTTTTCTTTTGTCTAATTTTCTCTTCAAACTTTTCTTCCAATGTATCTTGGGAGACCCAACTTAATTAGAGGTGCAGAAGCAGCATACTTCGCAGCTCGATCAGCCTGCTGCTCATTACCCAATAAACCTATATGACTAGGTAATCATAACATTTTACATTTTTCGCCGGCTGTTGTAATGATATTCCTTAATATGTTGACGGTGCTCCATCGCAAAGTCGAAGGATTCCGTATAGCTTTTAATACAGACAAACTGTCAGTAACAATGACAATTTTGAGTGTTTTTTTTTTTTTCATGGGCAAGGTTCGCAGCGTGAAGGATAGCTCTGGCGGCGATTGCGAAAGTTGAAGTACTTTCGTGAAATATATGATTGAGAAGAACTTGACCTGAAGCATCTATTACGGCGCAAGCATGTGGCAGACCAGAAGATTTTGAACCCTCTGTGTATAATAGATTTCAACCATTACTCTCCAGTACTTAAAAAATTAGTTTTGAAAAAAAAAAAAAAAAAGAAGAAGAAGCAATACACACTGCGATCAAATTTGAATCTAAAAAGAAAAACACTTTCATTTCATCCAATCACTAATCTATGTGTAGCTAATAAAACAAAACTGTTGACTTTTCTGTGACTGGCGAGTGTTTGTATGAAAATGTCGAATACAAAAAAAAAAACATGAATTTCTTAATAAATATAAATTATGTTAAATTAACTAATCATATTTTATGAGTATATATATATATATTGTGAGGGCCTTTGCGGCCCATTCTCTGGGGATGATGAGGTAACTCAGCGGGCCAGGAAACACAAGAAATTTCTATTGCGAGTCGTTTATAGTGTCCTTTTTATTTTATTATTTTATTATTGATTATCCGCGGTCGCGACCGACTTTTTAAACATCACTCACTCTACACCCCACTAAACGATTCTACCCTACCCTATTCTTAATCTCATTCTTATTCTACTCTTAATCTCTCTCTCTCTCTCTCTCTCTCTCTCTCTCTCTACCCGCCTGAGTGGCCGAGTAGGCAAGAGTCTCGACTAGCAACTCAATGGTCGTGGGTTCAAATCTTAAGTGCGGTAGAGTTTTTAATAAATGCAGTCCTATTAGTGGCTAAATTTTGAATAAGAATAATAATAATAATACTCTTAATCTATTCCTATTCTATTCTTATTCTATCCCTACCCTACTCTTAATCTACTCTTATTCCTTAGCCTTATGCGCTAGCTAATACTCTAACCTATTCTCTAGCTTACTCTCTAATTCACAGTCCCTTCTTCTTCTCACTCTCCCCCCAACTAGTTGTGCTAGTTTATGATAAAGAGTAAGAAGAAGGGACTAAATTAGAGAGTAAGCTAGAGAATAGGTTAGAGTATAAGCTAGAGCTATATATATATACACATATACAAATATATACAAACATACATATATATATATATATATATATACAAACTTAAATCTACGGCTGAGAAGTTCCATTTAATTTAAGATATGATTTATCGTTAAACATTAATTCGATTATCTCATTAATTTTCATCATCTGAACTACGTGGCGAGAGAGCAACTCGACTGTCACCTTCTTTTTCTATTGCTCTCATCATAAAAATGCTAATGCAACTTCGCGACAGGGTGTAAATTATTGATTTAGAACAAATGGCATTTAGGATAAAAAATATTTGGTTGAATTGAGCGCATTAGGTAGCATATCCTACTTGAGTACTTCCTTATGTTTTCTCGAAAGTTTTCGCTGTATGTGGGCGCAATTTATTATGATTGTTGTCAGTAACATTGCTCAGTGACCCCCAATCGCTCATATATGTGTTATTCATTATTTCAGATTTGGCATTATCTCTTCTTCTTATTCTTCTTAGTCTTTTGCTATAAAGACTTGAAATTATTGGATGACATGAGTCTGGCGTACACTCTGGTGCTTAGGATGACTGACATTTATGCAGGAGACCCAGGTTCCAATCCTGTGGGGATAGACTGAAAATTGTACTTTACTTCAGATATATTATGCATTTAAAATGGACTACCGTCATCTCATGTTGGTTGCGTCTGCTTGATTCAGATTTATTTTTTATTGCAGTGCGTGTGTACCTACGAAACATATCATCAACATTTTTCTAGAAATAAATGTTACTACAAATGCTTTCGGTTATCTCATTTTCCACGGTCCGCATCTGTTGTTCGCCTCGATTACTTCCTCCAAACGTCTACTATATTACATATATTTACACATACATAATATAAAACATTAGAATAAGTTTATATTTGTACTTGTGTGTAGCATATATGTAGCATGTAGCATATATGTAAATATATGTATACAAATTTATATATGTGAATGTATATAAAAATTCATATACATATATAGTATTATTTTAAAGTTATTTATTAACAATTATTAAATTAAAATTATTAATAACAATATGCCATAATGTCAGCAGGACTTCTTCGCAAATTAAGCAAAAAAAAAAAAAAAAAAAAAAAATGTAGCCGAACAGAAATCATAGGTAGTTTAGGGTAGAGAGCGACTTTGGGTATACCATCGTAATCACCCGTTCATTTAGGTAAGCGATACCTATCCGTTCTTCGTTCCGCTAAGAGTAATAATGACACGTGTATTCCTATTTGTTAATTGTAACTGTCTGTGGTTTGTCCAACGCAAGCCAAGCTTTAAGTTGTCCGTAGATAGCGTACCAACCCTTTTCGGCTATTTATTAATCTTTATGTCTTATGACAACAGTTGACATTACAAAAAAATCTGCGCGCAGTTTGATGAACTCGACGGATTCAAAGCATGCAGAAACTAACATAGTTTATAGACAGTAGCACAGTTGGGTACTATTGGTTGGTTAAATACTGTTATCCTATTTGTATTATCGACATACACAAGCGGTGTATATAATCGATGGACAACCTGGATTTCTATGTATTGGTTGAATTTGATTAGTTTTCCTAACGTTGTCCTCTCCATCATTATTACTATTAGCTATTATTCCTAAAACTGCGTATGTTATTTGAATTTATATTTCTAGTCCAGAGTAAACTTTAAAAATGTTACTTCCACTTCCACACAATGTTTCAATTGAACAAATAGTGACCGACAAAGTGAGAGACTTCTCGCATGGAAAAATCCAATGAAGATTGAAATTCTACATGTGAC